TAGTTGCCCTCCCCTCTCCCAGCCTCTCTCTTCCCCTCTCCCACCTCCTTTTCCCAGTCTCCCCCAGTTTTGTTCAATAAAGACAGATTCCATTTTGGAAGACACGTTATCTTTATTTTCTACATCAAGAACAGGGGCTAGGGAAGGGTAAGTGGAAGGAGGTGAGGGAGGAATGGGGTACGCCCCTGATGGGGAGGACTGGGCTGGCTCTGCGGGCTTCTGGGGGTGGAAGCTCTCCTGCAGCCCCCCGATTGCCTCCTCTCCCCAGATGGCAGCCTGCGGCAAGTGCAGCCGGGCTGATGGCCGAGTGGTGTGATGTGCCCAGTGTGGGTAGTCCGGGCAATCCAAGCCAGGACTGCTTTGCAAGTGGGGCACCCCTGAGAACTGTCTGTCCGGGGTGGGGGTCGGGACCCTTTAAGCACAGCCCTCGGCTAGCCTGAGACCGCATCTCCACGCTCTAAGTCCTCCTCTGATGCCCTGCCGGCACTGCTTCCGGCCATCCTTAAACCTGGTTCAGGGTCCACTTAATGTGGACATGCTAGTTTGAATTAGCAAAACGCTAATTCGAACTAGTTTTTTAGTCTGGATCCATTAGTTCGAATTAGCTTAGTTCGAATTAACGTTGTAGTGTAGACATACCCTGGGATCCGGTGCGAGTCAGAACTGTTCAGTCCCAGCTCGCACCAGGTCCTATACCTAACCCTGCTGCGGCTCTGCATTTAAATGTTGTGAGAGCTGGGTGGTTCTTACTACATTTAAAAGGCAGAGATACAGTATTCCGGGATCTGGCATGAGCCAAGGCTGTCGGTTCCCAGACCTACCCCTGCTGTGTCTTTGTATTTTAAATGTTGCATATGCCGAGACAGGATCAGACCACCAGTTTGATGACGTCTAACAGAAAAAGGCGGACAAAACCAGCAAAGTGCATGCATGCTGTGTCAGTGTCAACATTAGGCAAGTAACAAAAACATGATGGAGATGAAAGAAAGTCAGCACAAGCTTAAGTATCAAATAATTGTGAAGAAATCAGAAAAAAGTGTCGAGTAATAGGGATGGCAAGAGCAAGTAATGGATATAGAAAGCTTTAGATAAGTTAATAATACTGTAGTTGGCAAGTTCAAGAAACTAGTTCATTTGATCTTCAGTGTAATGTAGTCTATGATTTATGGATTGATTCCAGGCATCCTGAGCTTACCTCTAGTGAAGGTTTACATGTGTCTGTTTTCATGCGCACTTTTGTTTGATGAAGTTATACAGGAATCATTATTATTATTTAATTATTACTGCTTTTTCATTAAAAGGAAGGTTTGTTGGATGTAGAAAAGCTGGAGTGTGAAGATGATCTAACTGGCACGGAAATCAGCTGCTTACGCCTCAAAGGTCAAATGATCTACTTACCTGAAGCAGACAGTATTCTCTTTCTTTGTTCTCCAAGGTACTTTAAGTAATAAAAATACTTTGCTGAATAGCCACCAAATTGCAAGTGTCACTAAACGTGTATGAAACTCACTGGAACAGATTCTGTTCTATGTTATAGTAGTGCAAGCTCATTGATATAAGTGGGTTGCACATAGAGAATAGAATGGTGCATTTAAAAATTATTCATTTCAACCTTTGGGTCAGAATATCCCATCTATTTTTAAGCAGAACATCTCATTAACTGAGTGGCTTAATAAATCATGACATTTGGGTTTTGAATTTTATAACACTAAGAAGAACTAGGAATCAGTTTCTCAGTTGGTGATGTATAATAGTTTCAATGCAATTTTCACAGTGAGATGCACTGATATTTAAAAATCACTTGAAAAATTAATTTAGAAAATAAATTATGTAATGGACTCCATGTCCTAGCATGACAACTATCATCTTCAGTTTGACAAAGGACCTTCAGAGCTAAAAGCATGAACCTGTATAGTTTGAGTTAAAGTACATAATACATAATACATTTATATCCTATGTGGAACAGGTACTTGTGGATACTGGTAACACATGTTAACCAGTAGGTTCCACTAACATTGCTGCTGTTTGTAATTTTTAATCAGCGTGCTGTATTACACATAAATATATACATTAATGCATACAATTACAAGATAGATGATGGAAGCCACTTGTTTTACCTCATTTCCAAAAGTTTCATTAACAATATTAGCTCACTGTTTACCCATTTAACCCCACTACTTCTACTAACCAGTATTTTAAAGAGTTCCTTAGGCAAGTTTATTTTAATGTGCATTTCATTTATAATAAAGTACATTTTTCTGTATAACAGTGTGATGAACTTGGATGATTTAACCAGAAGGGGGCTATATTTGAGTGACATTCCATTGCATGATGCTACCCGTGACCTAGTTCTTTTGGGAGAGCAGTTCAGAGAGGAATACAAACTAACTCAAGAACTGGAGATCCTCACAGACAGACTTCAGCACACGCTCAGAGCCCTAGAAGATGAAAAGAAAAAGACAGACACGTAAGAATTAATTTCTAGTTTTAATCTGAAACAAAAACAAAAAAATGGTGGTAATTGCAGAGCAAAGAGAGCACAAACTCTTTTTTCTTTATAATATATAATGAAGGCTCTCATTCAGCAGCTGCAATATAGAATACCACACACACAGAAAACTGAAGAACAGTCCCTTCTTTGCTGTGGAGAGCTAAAAACTAAAGTGAACCAACAGTATCCATAACTTTAGAAATGATCTAAGCAAGCAGTGATCCAGGAAAACATCTTAATGAAGCTGCATTAGGACGAGCCAGTGACAAATTGCCAGTGATGCAGAAATCACTCTGTAATTTACTTTGGGGCCTGTAAATAAAGGAGATAATTCATTTGAAATAACACTGAGAGAAATAATAAAATATTAAGGAATTCATGATCTGTCATATGGAACATTTAATTATGAATTTGAGCATGACAGAAAACACAATCAGGGTACAAGAAATTTGATTTTCTTATTTGAAAACTGAATCATAGTCTAGAGGCAGAAGAGGAAACAATTCTACCCATGGTTTTCAGAACAGAGTTATAGCAAAAATGACAGAAGTTTAAAATTTAGTGTAGAAATAGGATTCAGCCATCACATTTTTACTTATGAAAGTAGCCCCTTGCTCATGCAAGTAGTCCCATTAAAATCTCACTTTTGGATTTGATATACAGGCAGTCCCAGAGTTACGTGGATCCGACTTACGTCGGATCCGCAGTTACGAATGGGGTTTGCTGCCCGTCTCCCTGGAGACCAGCAGACCAGGGAGACGGGAAGCAAAGCCTCTGATGACGGTAGATGCACTATTTCAAAATAAGCTATTTTGGAGTATTTCTTCCAGAATAGCTTATTCTGAAATAATGGTGCAGTGTAGATGTAGCCTTAATGTGGACACGCTACCTCGATTTAGAGCCCCAGGAAGCACTAGGAAATGATTACTTTGAATGACTCTGGGAAATAGTTATTTCGAAATAGCAACAGTAGAGCATCCACATTACAGCTATTTCGAAATAACTATGTCAAAATAAACATTATTCCTCATTGAAAGCTGGAGTTACTTAAAAAAAGCCGGCACCTTATTTTGAAATAATGGGCTTGGGAATGTGGACACTCCACTTGTTATTTCAAAATAACTCCCTAGTGTAGACCAGGGCTATGACTGTGGTACCTTCTGCATGTGTGGCAAAAGGGCAGGGAAGGGAGTACAAGGCGTTTTTCCTCTCTCAATTATGCAATGGCACACAGGATATCTTGCATCTTGGTTCTTACCATCTCTGAGTACAAAGAAGAAGATAGAATTCTAGCCAGGTACAGGCAGTCCCCGGGTTACGTACAAGATAGGGACTGTAGGTTTGTTCTTAAGTTGAATCTGTATGTAAGTCGGAACTGGCATCCAGATTCAGCCTGTTGAAACTGATCAGAGGCTGATTCCAGGAAACCTGGGGCAGAGCAACTCTGCCTCTGGCTTCCTGTAGTCAACCGCTGGTCAGTTTCAGCAGCCGCTGAATCTGGACGCCAGTTCCGACTTACATACAGATTCAACTTAAGAACAAACCTACAGTCCCTATCTTGTACGTAACCCGGGGACTGCCTGTACCTGGCTAGAATTCTATCTTCTTCTTTGTACTCAGAGATGGTAAGAACCAAGATGCAAGATATCCTGTGTGCCATTGCATAATTGAGAGAGGAAAAACGCCTTGTACTCCCTTCCCTGCCCTTTTGCCACACATGCAGAAGGTACCACAGTCATAGCCCTGGTCTACACTAGGGAGTTATTTTGAAATAACAAGTGGAGTGTCCACATTCCCAAGCCCATTATTTCAAAATAAGGTGCCGGCTTTTTTTAAGTAACTCCAGCTTTCAATGAGGAATAATGTTTATTTTGACATAGTTATTTCGAAATAGCTGTAATGTGGATGCTCTACTGTTGCTATTTCGAAATAACTATTTCCCAGAGTCATTCAAAGTAATCATTTCCTAGTGCTTCCTGGGGCTCTAAATCGAGGTAGCGTGTCCACATTAAGGCTACATCTACACTGCACCATTATTTCAGAATAAGCTATTCTGGAAGAAATACTCCAAAATAGCTTATTTTGAAATAGTGCATCTACACTACAGGAAATTCTGGAAAAAGCCCAAAGCAGAATCCTCTAATGTCTATGTACTACCCCAGGAAGCAGTGAGGAGTAATTATTTTGAATGGCCTGGGGAAGGAGCTATTTCAAAATAGCAGCAGTGGAGAATCCACACTACTGCTATTCTGAAATAGCTATTTCGGAAGAGGCGTTATTCGTCATGGAATGAGGTTTACAAATGCCGAAATAAGCCGCCAATTATTTCAAAATAATAGACTAGCTGCGTAAATGCTCTCACAGTTATTTCGGAATAATGGACATTATTCCAAAATAACAAGGGAGCCTGCCTCGGACTAATTTTGAGACTTCCTGTAATGTGGACATGCTATTTTAAAATAGTTATTTTGGGAGTAGTTATTTCAAAATAAGTTATTTCAAAATCATTTCCAAGTGCAGACATGCCCATATCTATCACCTGCAAGAGAGTTTAGCATTGTGTAGGAAGATCGGGAATGTGTTTTAAACCAGTTTAAGTAGGTCCAGTAATTGAGACTGTGCACTTTGATGTGTTTTAAATCAAATAATTTCAGAGAATTCCAACTATTATTCTTTGGGAAAGTGCATCAATCCATTATTCTTATTTTTGTTCCTTATCTTTCTCCTCCTGTTTCTTCTTAACTTTCATGTCTCTCTTAACCTGTAATATTTACAGGCTCCCAGAACCTTAAAATGCAAAATTTTAGATTCCAAAGTAGTATCATTTAATCTGTGTCACTATCAGATATTTTTGTTAAGCAATGAACAGTTAGTGCTTTGGCAAATTGCTGAGTTTGAATTCTGTACAGGGACAGATGAAAAGCTGTATGGGATGAGCATGAGTGTAGAATATGGTCTTATGTGTAGGATTTAGTTTTTAATGTGCATGGTGATTTACAATACACACTGGTTTCTTTTTGTCCTATTCACTGTTCGATTTAAAAAAAAAAATGTAATAAACCATAAGGGCCAGATACACTGATAGTGTAAATTGGTGAAGATCCACTGAAATCAGTGGAGCAAAACCAAGTTACATGAGCTGAGGATCTGGCCAATGTACTTTAGGAATAGGAATAGGTAATACCAGGTTTCTTTAACAGATTGTGATAAAAGAATTACTAACATATTTCTTGGTAATTACATGGTAATTTTAATCTACTAGCATGTGTGTTTGTAATGTAATAGCTTTAACCGTATGAACCGTACAGATGCATATCCGATCCTGCTGTTTAAGGAGTAGATACTTCAGTATAAGCCCATATCACTAACAGTTGGATATGACTACTGTATAATAACACGTTAGGGAAATATTTGGGTCATATTTAAATATTGCATTAATATCCTCTCTCTCTCTCTCTCTCTCTCTCTCTCTCTCTCTCTCTCTTTCATATCCTTTGCTTATTTTACATGTCTAGATTGCTGTATTCTGTGCTTCCTCCATCTGTTGCAAATGAACTGAGACACAAGCGGCCTGTGCCAGCTAAGCGGTATGATAACGTGACCATTCTGTTCAGTGGCATTGTTGGATTCAATGCATTCTGCAGTAAACATGCCTCTGGAGAAGGAGCCATGAAAATTGTTAATCTTTTAAATGACCTTTACACAAGATTTGACATTCTAACTGATTCACGAAGGAATCCATTTGTTTATAAGGTAAATATGAGATTTGTGGGCATTGCTACTGTTTTGCTATCAGGTAGTGTCATAAAATAAATAAAATATCTGTACAGTCCATTGAAATTCAGACATTATTACAACTTTGGTATGGATTTAATCCTCAGTGAAGAAAAGAACATGTCCAATGCTAGTTTTAACACCATACAGAATAAAGAGCTCTTATTTGGAGCACTGCACAATGAAATAAATTCTTGCAATCATTAAAATAAGTACTCTTTGGCAAATAAAGATAGAATAAGCAATTCATCAATGGATACTGAGTTTCCTAACTAATGTTAAGGAATTATCTACATGATTCTTCAAGGCTGTGTTAGGAATGTGGAAAAAGATAAAGTGTTCACAATTTTGAAGGAAACTCCATAGTAGCTCAAGCTTTCTAATGCATAATTGCCGTACGTGTTTTGATAGGTGGAAACAGTTGGAGACAAGTATATGACAGTGAGTGGTCTACCAGAGCCATGCATTCATCATGCACGATCTATCTGCCACCTGGCATTGGATATGATGGAAATAGCAGGACAGGTTCAAGTAGATGGAGAGCCTGTACAGGTTAGTATTTGTTGCTGTAGATTTCTTTTAAAATCCCACCACTGAAATATAATACAACTCAAAATACAGTCATCAGAGGTTTTATTATTGCTGAAAGATGAGTGATCTTTTTAGTGATAAGATGAAACAGAAATATGTGTCATATGTGTAACGCATCCTCCAAACTCCCAAAAGATAGATACTGAGTGTATCAATCTTATTAAGGTCCAAATTCTGTCCATGGCCACATTTGCCTGCAGTATGTATGGGCTTGAAACACAGTATACAGAACAATATTGTTCTCTCCCCAACCCATTTTGATTCTAGTTTAGAGCCACTAGCTAACTTGGGAAAATCTTTCATTTCAGAGCCGTGTACGTTTCTCTAGGCATTTGTTGAGAATGGCAGGCAATACTGTGACTACTAGAAGTTACATTTTGAATTAACACAGAATTAAAGTTCTTGTAATAATCTTTCATCTTTAGAAAAAGAGCCACTGAATAAACCCTATGTACATGAATTGAATTTCTCCTGTTCCTTTTTGCCAGTAGCATATTTGGCCCCATGTTTTTCTATTTATGAGCATAGCAGTGGAGAAGGCATGGATTTGATGCTCTGCACTAACCAAGAGGTCTCTAAAAGGACTTAATCCCATTCTTTATAGTGAGAAGCATCTTTGCTAATAAGCAACATGCCTGTATAAAACTGAGCCACAAAACCCCCAGGCTACATCTAGACTACAAGCCTCTTTCGAAAGAGGATTTTTCAAAAGATACTTTCCAAAAAGCCTTTTTCGAAAAAGAGCATCTAGACTATAACCAGTACTTTCGAAAAAGCAAGCCGCTTTTTCAAAAGAGAGCACCCAGGCGGTCTGGATGTTCTCTTTTGAAAAAGCATAGTTTGCATTACATAGTGCCTTTTTTCAAAAGAGCACTTTAAAAAAAGTCGTTATTCCTCGTACAATGAGGTTTACCGCTGTCGAAAAAACTGCCGAGTTCTTTCTATTTACTTTCGGAAAAAAACGCGGCAGCAGTCTAGATGCAGGGGAAGTTTTTTCGAAAAAACCTAGTAATCTAGACACACCCACACTGAGCAAATTTTTATATTATCCTAGCAGAGTTGTTTGAATGTATATAACTCCTGATTCACTTGTGACCTATTTATCACTGAATAAAATTATTATAAATGAAAAGGTTGGGATGCTCAATAAGTAGGAAATCCTGCTGGTTCATGTTCTTGTATAATTATACATTTAGTGCCACTTGTTACAATATGTGGGTCGGGCTTTGTTAAAAATGTAGTGAAATATTTTCAAGGTTTTTCCAGTTCCTAATTAGTGTGTATATGCACAGGATTTCATGGAAAGGGACACATTCTTACTTCTGACTCAGTGTACATCATAATCTGTATAGGAAAATGTAGGCGAGTGCCTTCTATTTAATTCAGTAACTGCTTAATTTAATCAAAACAGGAACTAACAACTTATTTTTAAAATATTACTCTTGCTTTGATTACTTCTGGCTTAAATTTAATAATTCAAGCCAGAAGTAATCAAAGCAAGAGTAATAATATTTTAAAAATAAGTTAACCATCATTTCTAGAAATAAGCCATCTGTCAAGGCTCCATTGAAATTACTCATGATTTACACCAACTTTCTTGAGAGTGGAATCATGCCCCATATTAGCAAAAATAGAGACAATTAGGAATATAGCAGAAATAAAATAATCTCACAGAAAGCTGTATTAGCTATATTGAAATTGCTTTGGATATATGTGGCTGTAATAGAGAATTGGGTTGCTGATTTCATCCAAAAGCTGTAAACTTCAGACATTATTATTAACTTTTTAAGTAATGTCCTTTGCTACCATGATGTGCCATGCATCTTGGTGATCATACGAATAATGGGGTTAGTCATTATTTTCAGGCAATGAACTTGGTAAAAGAAAAAGAAAAGTACTCTGCCCCTCTTGCAGATGAGTTCATACACACTTGTGAGGTTTTTGAATGACATATCTGTGTGCTCAGTTCAGATTAGAGGTTGGCAATATGTCAGAGAGTGTGCAATATGTCAGACTTAAAAATCCTTACTTTTTTTCTTGTTAACAAGAAAATATATATAAAAGTCACCTTGTGTTCTGTGCACCTAATATTTAAACCTCTGTGTTTGAAGCCTCCATTTGGCTTTAGTAACATGCACAGTGGTCAAATTCTGCTGTGAGTTACACTCACAAATCATTAAAATCAATTAGTGTGTTCTTTCACTCGTTCTTTGGGGAGGTGCAACATAAAACACAGAGCCTGGACAAGGGAGTATGGTGGCATGAAGCCTCATTTGTGTCCTAGATGTGGGCTGCTACAAAAGTTGAAACAGCACCTGATGTAGTTTAGATAGTCCTGGAGAGCTCCTACAGGTGGCACTGCCACACAGAATCCACAGAATCTCCCTGACTGCTTTCACTGTGGCTTGCAACCTCCATCTTGCACCACCAACATATTCCTGCACCAGGATTTGTGGAGTGGGCATCCTACAAGAGCCTGTGATTATCGGTATCCCGTGACAAGATAATTCTTCTCTGCTGAATCTGTGAATGTGATCCTCTGTGGCCCTTAGAGTGGTATTTCTCTTGTACAAAAAAGGGAGCCTAATTTCCCACTTCCTTTCACCTTGTGACATCATGTATACCTGTGCAAAGTGGATGTAGAATGCAACCATTCTGAATGAATAGCATTTTACACTCAGTCTATGTGGTGTAATGTAAGGCGATAAAGAATCAAGACTGGTGACTCATGAAAAATAAGCTCTAACATTTAGGGAATGTATAGTATATGTGTTTAGTTGGAAACATCAAGTTAGTAAAATTTATGTTGAACTATAAATATTCTAGCTTGCTTTTTCTTGTTAAAGATAACAATAGGCATCCACACTGGAGAGGTGGTTACAGGTGTCATAGGCCAAAGGATGCCACGCTACTGTCTCTTTGGAAACACTGTTAATCTAACGAGCAGAACAGAAACCACCGGAGAAAAGGGAAAAATCAACGTTTCTGAGTACACCTACAGGTAAGAAATGCAGAACCCCTTCTTGATAAGAATTTCAGAAGACACAACTTTATCAATGTATCCTTAAAGTAACTTTAGAAGTGATAGTGACAATTCCATTCAGTACATTATAGCACATGCATTTATATGCAGTGTTGGGACAAGTTGCATTACCAGAGATCACTATTTCCATAAGAAACAAATATATTGAGCCACAGGAATTTGTGGTGAGACATGATACCTGCCTTAAGATATTTGTTGGGATTCCTCTGACACATCTTCCACTCAGGTTGCCTAAGAATATATTCTGACACAAGGCTTGTCACTTGGGTTTCTTTATTTGGCATGCAACAAAGCTATACTGAGATGACCAGGCTCAAGTGTAGGGTTGGTATAGCAGTACCACACATCCAAAGTTATGCTGCAAACTTCTTCCTTTATTTGCAGTTACACATTTCATTGCATTAACAATACATTTCATTACACATTTTGGGATTGCCTTGGTTACTTTGTAGGAAGCCATCCCCTTACAGAATGTTCTGTACGCTTAGGCTATGTCTACACTGCAGGCTTCTTGTGCAAGAACTGTTTTGCACAAGAGTTCTTGCACAAAAGGTCTTGTGCAAGAGCATGTCCACACTGCATGTGCTTTTGTGCAAGAGATGTGCTTTTGCATAAGTGCATCCATGGCCTTGTGGATGCTCTCTTGCACAAGATAGCTCTGATGGCCATTTTAGCCATAGGGGTTTCCTGCGCAAGAAACCCCTGTTGCCTGCTCACTCTGCCTTCTCGCACAGGGGGCTTATTCCTCATGGGGAGAGGAATAACTCTTGCACAAGAAGCCCTCTTTTCTAATGATTTACTGTAAATTTACTTGCACAAGAACACGCGTGCAGTGTAGATGCTCTGCAAGTTTTTGCGCAAAAAGCCTTCAGTGTAGACATAGCCTTATTGTTCCTGTATGACTTACTTTTTTCCTCATCTTACGTTCCAAGCTTGTTTTATTCATTGTTACCTTGTCCATTGTGAATGGCTCCCCCTTATTTTAGGTAATACTGACGTTCTTTTTTCCAGTCTGCTGATTGATTTATCTCCCTAATCCTGTGTCCCAAGGAATGAGTCCTCACGCATGTCCAATTATTTATGTTAAGCCAGGTCTATAATATTGCCTGTCAGTGCAATTAATGTGTCCTCAGATGTAGCATGTTTAATGTTTTCTCTGTTTTCGTGTGCGTATGTATGTGTGTATGTATGTCTGGCTGTAATCTGTTTGTTTTTAATTGCAGGTGTCTTATGTCACCAGAAAATTCAGATCCACAATTCCACCTGGAACACAGAGGCCCGGTTTCCATGAAGGGTAAAAAAGAACCAATGCAAGTTTGGTTTTTGTCCAGAAAGAGTACAGAGACAGAGGTATGACTAATCAAAGAGTAATTCTTCTTTAAAACAAGGAATAAACACAAGTTTAATCTAAACCACTGAGAACCATTTTCACTTGCAAAACTAAATGTTCCCTACGAGAAATGGACCATTTTGTAAAATGTTGTTGAATTAATGTGTTTACAATCTTGACAGCAGATTAAAGGTCTTGATTATTTATCTTTGTTGTTTATGCATTCTCTAAAAAAATACTTTTGTATTTTAAAAAAGTCCTTGAGGGAGTGCCAAGTGTTTAAATATTTATCTCTCCTTACAGATTTCTCTAAAATATTAGACTTAGTAATGTACAGTACATCTCTGTTGAAGTGACACGTATAGTTAGTGCCATTTGAAAACTCTTCATTTGCCTGTATGCAGTGTATCTCCGTTTTTTTATGCCAGTCCAGCAACTACCTCTGGGTAGACTCCATACTGAAGACAATAGGGTCCTATGCAACAGGGTTTCTCCACATGAAGAAGGAAAGATTGTGCAATCCGGCCTGGTATTCCCAGAGGGTTAGGGTGGGCTGTCTGTTACTGGCTCCTAAGCCCCATCCCTTCCCACTATTGCCCCACTCTCTGCCCCCTATGGCACCCAGTCCCCAAGGATGTGGCTTTGGGGACCACTGGGGAGGAGGCTGGTGCAGCAGCAGCTGTCTTACACCCTCCTGCAACCGCCACGGCAGCAGGAACCTCATTCAGAGTCTATGGGACTTAGACTCCAAGAGCCTAAATCTCTTTTGAAAATAGGGCTTAGGCTGCTAAGCCACTTAGTCATTTTGCAAATTTTACTCTCCGTTCTTACTGCAGGTATTAGAACAATCAAATGGTGATTTTTAATGGTACATACTAAAAGTTGATATTTCTTATTCTAGGGCAATATACTTCAGGGAAAATTCTGTATTTTCTCTAGAACTTATTTATAGTCCTTAGCACAGACTCTGTGACTTTTATGAATATTCTATGCACCTCCATTTGATGATACTTTGATATTTGTGTTTTATACCAACTGAGAATATACCATAATTTCATATGGCTGACATTTCCACTTGAGATCCATAGTCAGAAGTAAAAGAGTTTTATCAAAACATTTTTTCCTAACTTAAAAACAATAGAGATCCTATTTAACAAAGCACTTGTATTTAAATGTAGCGTTAGAGAGGAATTCATAACCATGTGTGTACTAGCCACTCTAGCCTGAACAGTTATTTAAAGTGGTTTTTAAAGGGTTCATATAATCAAGGCTACTGCTGATATTAATAATATTTATCATTTATATTATGTAGCAATTATCAGCTTTTTATTAACACTAACCTATTCATTTTCCCAACCCCCTTAAGAGATAAGTAGGTAAAGAAAACATTGTAAATCCTCTTTTATAGAGGAGGAACCGAGACAAAGGAACACAGCTAGAGACATCTTGGGCCTGATTTCTAGGAGCATTAAGTACCTGCAGCTTTTACAGAGTCACAGGAGTTTAGCATTTCTGAAAACTAGGTCCAAGGTGTTTCAAATTGCACTCTCCATAACTGAGAAACTCATCACTAATGGCAACTTTTGACATTTTGGCTGAAAGTAACTTGCTTATAGCCACAGTCAGGGATGTTATACCAGCTGAGGAGCAGCTGGTTCCCAGGCCTTTGCTCAGAAGGCTGGATGCTACTGTAAGATAAATGATTAACAATTGACAACTGACTAAAATAAATGAATTGCTCTACTGACTCATTTTCATTTACCCTTTCACAAATCATTAGCTATTTCTAAAACATGAATAGGAAATAGAATCTAGTATCTTTAGGATACCATTATATATGTAATATTGTAATGGGCTGTCCATTGTATGCATTATACATAACATTATTTCACTCCGGAGATAAATGTTATAACTAAGGGTATGCCTACACTAGCCTCCTAGTTCGAACCAGGGAGGCTAATGTAGGCATTCGAAGTTGCAAATCAAGCCTGGGTTTTAAATATCCTGCGCTTGATTTGCATCTTCCCGGCCGGTCGCCATTTTTTGAAATTTACAAGTCCGGACTAACTGCCCGCGTCTACACGCGGCAGGAACCCGGTAGTTCGAAATAAAGCCCTAGTTCGAACCACCTGTTATTCCTCCTGGAATGAGGTTTAACAGGTAGTTCGATTTAGGGCTTTAATTCGAACTACCGGGTCCCTGCCATATGTAGACGCAGGCAGTTAGTCCGGACTTGTAAATTTCAAAAAATGGCGACCGGCCGGGAAGATGCAAATCAAGCGCAGGATATTTAAAACCCAGGCTTGATTTGCAACTTCGAATGCCTACATTAGCCTCAAGTTATCTGTTTTACCAAGCATTGTAGCACTCTTTATCGTAGGACAACACATGCTTTTCAGTTCTATTCAGTCTCTTTCTGGATAGCTGACCTAACAGTTTCTTTAAATGTAGCCTATGCAAATTGCTGCCCCAAAAGAATGTGTGGTGGAGAATAGGCTTTATACCTTCCTCCCAGAAGAAGGGAAACTAAGTTGTATTCTGGAAAGAACAATGCCTCTAGGTCTGACTCAGACCATGTGCTACATAAATGTCTTCTGCTTCTTATGATAAATTTACCTAGAATTCTCAGACATGTCTCAAACACAGGGTACAGTTTCCTTCAGACTCTGATAGACCAATAGGATTATTTCCTTGCCTGGTAAAAGACAGGGATTGTTTTGTTTCAGCTTTTCCCTAAATACAGATGCACACAAATACAGTGTTCCTGTTCAGTAAGATTCCTCCCATCACAGAAGAGCTCTGTGCAAGCTCAAAAGCATGCCTGTCTCACTAACAGAAGTTAGTCTAATAAACAATATTACCTCACCCACCTCTTCTCTCTACCATCTAGTAGGGACTTTCCTGCATGTTGCAAGGAGTGCGTCATAGAATGAATTACATATTTAAAAGATTTCTTAAAATCTTTTTCACCTCCATTATCTCTGATTCTGATTGATTGATTCATGTTGGTAATATGCCATGTCCATTCTCTTTATCCCAGAAGGCAGTGATGAAACTCACCTTCTCCTAATTTATAACATTTTATATTAGATCACAATAATTAACACAAGAAGTAAATGTTTTCAACAAGTAGATCAAGATTTTGTGCCAGACTTTAAAAGACCCTGAGTTTCTCAGGCTATGTCTACATCACAAGATTTTTGCGCAAAAAACTGGGGAGCGTCCACACCTCAGATGAGCTCTTGCACAATTAAATGGGAAGATAAATGGCAGAACAGAGAGCTTTTTCCGCCATAGGTAAACCTCCTTTTCTGAGGCATAACTGCTTTTAGCGTTCCAGCTATTGCGCAAGAAGGCATGTATGGAAAAAGGCACAGGTGCTCTGATAGCCATTCACAGAATGGCCATCAGAGCTTTCTTGCGCAAGAGCGTCTGTAGTGTAGACGTAACCTAAAGCATCAGTACATAGCAATGTGAGTTATAGCAGCTTATCACTAGGGGATGTTAAATTTCGATTAATCAGCTAATTGAGTAGTTGATGGAATTTCCATTGACTACTCAATTAGTCAACAAGGGGGTGGGAGTGGGGCGCTTGCTATCCTGGCAGTGCCTCTGCCTTTTAAATGTAGTAAGAGCTGCTTGCAGCTCTTACTACAATGAAAAAGAAGAGGTGCAGCAGGGAACCTGGGTTGAGTGGGGACTGAAAAGCCTAGGACTCTTACTATATTTAAAAGGCAAAGGCACAGCAATCAGGACCCAACTCATGTCCTTACTCCCACTGAACCTCTGCCTCCTCTGCCCCCCTGCAGAGATGATGCTGGGGGGTGGAACCAGTTTTTAAGTCGGCTCCCTGCTGCACCAGCTCCTGTTCCCCACCCTTGATGCCTCTTATACAGAAACAGCAGGTGGGTGGGAAGTGACTAGTTGAGTAACGGCTCTACTATCCGAAAAGTCTAGGCTTATCGGGTAGTTGACTAGATGTTTAGATCCCTTTTCTAGCATCACTAAGTGATGTCAGCCGCTGACATATTACAGTATTACATATTCCAAGCACCAATATTTGCTTGCATTTTGTATTCTTTTTTCTGTTTTCCCCCTAAGCACTTTCTTCTACCCAACAGTTTTAGGCCCACATCTGAACCATGGGCGATGAATGTCCCCATGACTTGGGGAAGCCGGCCCTCCAGCTCTGCCCCTTCCACTTGATGTGCCTACCAGAGCCCAGACCCCTCACTGTGGTGGCTGCTGGTCCCTGCTCAGCTCTCCCCCTCTTGCTCCTTGCCCAGGATAGAACCCCCAGCCTGGGACAGTGCAGCCCCAGCTTCCTTCATCCCCAGAGCTCCATCAGGTGGCATGGCCCCAGCCTGCTTCAAAGCTGCGGAGAGCCTGTGAGCTCTGGAAAAACAACGAGCAGCACATCCCCAGTCTGCTTCTGCACTGGAGCTCTGAAGAGCCAGCAGACAGCATGTCCCCAGCTTCCCCCAGCCCTAAAGCTCCAGAAAACCAATGGCAGTATGGCCCCAGTCTCACCTGGTCCCGAGCACCAGAGAGAAGAACTGGGAGGTGGGCTTCAGGCTCCCTGTGCCATGCCTAATTGCTAGCCCCCTAACCAAAATACCCCAGCCCCACAGCTGACTGTCCAGCCCTAGTGTTGGATGGCCAGAAGTGCCCCGGTGCTGGAAGGACATGCAGTGTGGACCCCAGCCTATCTTCCTCATCCTCTGGCACTGCAACAACAGGCTGGGGAAGGAGGCCTGGGGAATTCCAGTGGAGCATGGGTGAGGCCAGGTGAGGCAATTTGAGAAAGAAATGCCTTCTCCTGCCTATGATACCCACCGTTCATGGTCTGAACTGAGCATTGGCACCAGTGGCTCTGGCTCTATCTTTTGTTTTCAGTTCCTGATGCCCTTGTTTTTGTGTTTTTAGAACAAAGTGCAGCTGCTGCTTCACTTCTGACAGGGAGGTTTATTTTAAAAACACAGAGTAGGATTGTCCAGTTAATAGAAAAGCTCAGGTATTTATTTTTACCTTTCTGGTTTACAACATTCAAAAATGGGAGGAAACTGCAGCCAAAGTAAAAGGAATTGGGAATAAAAATATTGGTTCCTTAATATAACATCCACCATGTTGAAGGCAACTGATGTAAGTATTATCCCTCCAGATGCCTCCTACTCCGTGTTTCCCATTTTCAGAGTGTCTTCACTTAGGGCATGTCGACACTAGGAAATTTATTTTTGAGGTAACTTATTTTAAAACAATAACTCCCGAAATAAGTATTTCGAAATAGTGTGCCTATGCTACAGGGAAGTCTCAAAACAAGTCCAAGGCAGGCTTTTTTAATATGGACATGTTGGGGAGTAATTACTTTGACTGACTCTGGGGAGTAGTTATTTTGAAATTGCAACCCACACTTCCGCTATTTTGAAATAACTATTTCAAAATAAATGTTATTCCTCGTGGAAAGCAGGAATTATTATTTTGAAATAACCAGCCCGTTATTTTGAAATTACAGGCTTGATGGGGCATGTCTAAACTACATCCCTCTTTCGAAAGAGGAATGTAAATTAGACAGATCGAAATTGCAAATGAAGCTAGGATTTAAATTTTCTGTTCTTCATTTGCATAATGGCAGCCGCGCATTCTTTTGAAAATGGGTATTTTGAAAGTGAAACCGCCATCTAGATATAGTTCTTTTGAAAAAGAAACCCTTTTTCGAAAGATCCTGTACTCATCAAAAAATGTTATTTCGAAATAAGGGGAGTTATTTCGAAATAGTTCCCTAGTATAGACCAGGGCTTACTCCTCACTGTGCTGGTTCCCCATTCTGATCTCAAGCAGCATTCTCTCTAACCTCAGATGGTGTAGCATGAATGGCTGTAGGGACTCTGTGACTGGATAGTCCTATGCCTTCTCTGTCACAAGTATCACAGCAGCCTTAGATAGTGAGGGACAAATTAGGGCAACTTGCTGCCTAACTATGGAATTGTCTTAATCCTGCTAATAAGGTACTCAGAGCCCGGGATCCTGGCACAACAATATCCCCATTACTCACTCTCATTATTATTTATAATAAAGCTGGAATGAAATGTATCAAACTTTTTTGTCACTGAATGTCACATCACTCTTTCAAAGAAAATCCCTCATTTCTCAAACTTTCCTTACATGCACTCAAGGAAATAAAGCAAGATGTTTACTGAGCTGGGGGAAGAGGAAGAGGACGCTGGATAGGGTGCAATGCTGTGTCCCAAACAGCTTACTGGTCTGGTAGTAATGATGAATTGTGGGTAATACTTCACTTTGCATTTCTCATTTGTCTATTTGCCCTATTCTGAAAATATCATATTCACTGCTTTCCTGCAGATTCGTATTTGCCTCAGTTTTTGACATCGTGTTTTTGCTGTGGATATGTTTTCCAAGCCATTTTTGTGGACACGTAACTTTTTTTGTGCCCTGAACATCGGATAGTGCTGAATGACATTATGCAATGTGTGTGCCATAACTAACCCTTTTAATTTGGTGCTTCTCACATGTGCTCATTGTCTTCATCATGATTATAAAAGCTATCTTATTAATGCTATCCATTTTCCTTCAATATGCCAGCATGTGGCACTCCAGTTCCTCCTGGGAACAACACTTGAAACACTGTGCTAATAAGTATTGTGAAAACAACAGTTCTTTTGATGTTATTGTACAATTTTCACCTGGATATACTATATATACATTTTCTATATTCAAAAGAGGGGGTTGGTCATCTAATACTGCAATTTGAATTGTGTGTAAATGTAATTCTATCCAAATGCTGCTCACTTTCCATTTATTTTTCATTGATTCATATTCACTGAATGCCGCTGACTTGCTGCAAAATGTTATGCCACTCAATGTTGCTTTGGTTCTTTTCCTTTCAACCATAAACATATAAAGGCACAGCACTGGGACAAGTTAATCAAGCAAGCCTTTTATTTTTTGTGTCTTTAGTTTTCAGAAATGTTTTTGTTTCAGTCCTTAGAAGAATTTTATAATGTTCTAGACAAAAGTCAGGAATAATTATGTTAGCTTCAGTGTAAAGGGCATTGCTGTTGGAATAATATGTTCAGTCTTAGCTCTATGATATTTTTCAAATAGTTGCTTTATACAATTATGTTAGTACAGTACAATTACTTGTGTGAAAAATAAAAGTTTGTCTATAGTGTATCTTTTCAGCCCAAAAATATATGTATAAATGTTTCATGCTAATGTGTAAAAGAAACTGCAATAAATTATTTTTTCCATTGGTCTTTGAAAGTTTATTTCTTCAATAAAAACAAACATATTACACTTGCTGTGACAAATGTTATTTTATTATATGAATTCTGAATCTGAATATTTCCTGTGCCATCAGATGTCACTTGGGCCATGAACAAGTCCATCCTTGCCAATCATGCTGTTTGATAGAATGGCTACCCCACTGTGTTTCTAAATCTTAACTTTTATATGAGACTAGGTTAATGGCCTATCATTCAACCCCCAGTTTCAAGGGTCAAAGAACTACTTTTCATCTTATAGAGTAACAGATGTATTGGAGCATAAGCTTTTGTGGGCAAAGACCCACTTCATCAGATGCATGGTGGGTCTTTGCCCTCGAAAGCTTATGCTTCAATATATCTGTTAGTCTATAAAGTGCCACAGGACTCCGTGTCGCTTTTGCAGATCCAGACTAACATGGCTACCCCTCTGATACTTTTCATCTGTCCCTCGACATGTCCAGCTGAAGTGCCCTTAATAGAAGTTAAAACTCCTGCCAGCATAGCTCACAGGTTCACTGGAGCATACGAGCCTCCCCAGCCAGGTGAAGATACAGTCCTCAAGAAAGGATCATACAGATTTTCAGCTATTTTCCAAACTATGGCTCCAATCTTGCAGTCAGTGCCTATATGGAATAGTGCTCAAAATGTGTAGGCTCCTTCCTCACACACACAAAAAACAAACAAAAACAAAACCACAAACAAGGACATAAAATTGCATGTACAATCATTATTTTGATACATTTAAACAATAATTGGCAACCTAAAATCTCTCTATATTTTTAGAGGTTTGTGTTAGTCTGTGTGAATGCTGTGGCCACCCCTGTGCACCTCCATCCCCTGAGCTGGACTCGGGAGCGCTGGCATGGGGGAGGCCATGCCCCTTGCCCTAGGCTGGGCCTGGGGAGTGCTGGTGCAGGAGGCTTACACTGCCTCCCCTCCTCCCCCCGTCCCCCATCCTCTCTAGCTGGGCCTGAGGAGTAGAGACCTGTGCTACCTCCCTGCCTCCCCATACTGGGGAATGCTGAGGAGGGAAGCCTGTACACACTGCCTCTTCCTCCACACTCCCACCTCCAGCCCCGAGGGACTGCTGGTGAGGGAGGCCTCCCTACTCCACCAGGCTGGGCCTGGAAAGCGCTGGCCAAGGGTAGGTCTGTGCAGCCCCAATGTGCAGCCCCAATCCCCAGCCTCAGGCTGGGTCCCTCCCCCAAATCCAACCCCTAAGCCAGGTCCACTTCTCAAACTCCTGGGTGGGTCCACCTCTATGTCCCCAGACCAGCCCCCTACCAATTTCCTGGGACAGCCTGGGGCGCACCGGCGAGAGGGCTACGTGGTCCTTTCCCCCTCCCCCCCCTACCAGTGGGCCAAACCCGGGCTGCGCTGGGTAACTCTGTTAGTTACAAACAATGATAGTTACAGTTGTGTGAGGACACAGTTGATCCACTCAAAAGCTTAAAAGCAAGGGGTGCATCTAGACTGGCAAGATTTTGCGCAGCAAAAACTTGCTAGCTGTCTACACTAGCCGCTTGAATTTGCACAAGAGCACTGACGTTCTAATGTAAGAATTCAGTGCTTCTTGCGCAAATACTTTGACGCTCCCATTCAGGGATAAGCCCTCTTGCACAAGAATACTTGCACAAGAGGGCCAGTGTAGACAGGCATCTTAATTTTTTGCACAAGAAAGCCCAATGGCCAAAATGGCCATCGGAGCTTTCTTGCACAAAAGCGCGTCTATACTGGGCACAGATGCTTTTGCACAAAAGCACTTTTTGCGCAAAAGCATCCATGCCAATCTAGACACTCTTTGCGGAAATACTTTTAACGGAAAAAACTTTTCCGTTAAAAGTATTTCCTTAAAATCATGCGAGTCTAGACGCAACCAAGGAATTTAGAAGTTAAGTAGCAATGCTTTTATATTCTTTTCCACCTTCAGAATGTACATTTTGGTAACACACTCCAACACTCCAGAAGGCTGTCACTTTTCTTCCCTACTCAAAAGCAATTTGCACCCTGACTTCATTAAGCCTGGAGTCTAACACAAAGCCTTAACATTAAACTACTCATTTCCATTAACCTGAGAATGTTTTTTCCTGGATAAATCACACAAGCTACATCTAGAGTGCATCCCTTTTTCGTAAAAGGGATGCAAATTAGACATATTGCAATTGCTAATGAAGCGGGGATTTAAATCTTCCCCGCTTCATTTGCATAAAAATGGCTGCCGCTTTTTTTCGGCACGGAGCTTTGCCAGAAAAAAGCGCCAGTCTATATGCGGATCTTTCGGAAAATAAAGCCTTTTCCGAAAGATCCCTTATCCCTCTTAAAATAAGGGATGTCAGTGCTTTTCCGGAAATTCAAGCGGCCAGTGTAGACAGCTGGCAAGTTTTTCCGGAAAAGCGGCTGATTTTCCAGAATAACTTGCCAGTGTAGACACAGCCATAAGAGTATTGTACACAGGACACAGGAGACAGAATTTTGTTTGGCACTGGTGAGTCTTAGCTGGTGTATTGTGTCCTGTTCCAGTAGCCACGATTTAGGAAAGATGTGGACAAATTGGAGAGAGTCTGAAGAAGAGGAACAAAAATGATAAAAAGTAAAAACTGCCCTATGAGGAAATATTAAAAAAACCTGGTTATGTTAATTTAGGGAAAAGACAGAATGGGAATTGAAAACAGTCTTCAAATATAAAGGTTGATACAAGGAGGATGAGGATCAGTTGATCAGCTGTTCTCCACATCTGCTGAAGTTAAAATTAGAAATAATGGGTTTAATCTGCAGCAAGGAAGATTTAGCTAAGATATTATTTTTAAAAACCTTTCCTTCAGGATATTTAAACACTGGAATAATCTTCCAAAGAAGATTGTGTAGAACATTAGAAGAGGTTAAACAAACACTTGTCAAGGACGATCTAGGTTAACTTGGTCCTTACCCAGTGCAGGGACAAAGGCTATGTCTAAACTACAGTGTTTTTGCGCAAAACTCCGTGGAGCATCCACACCTCAAGCATGTTTTTGAGTAAAAAACAGTAAAACAGCAGAACAGAGAGCTTTTTGCACTGTAGGTATATCTCTTTCTATGAGGAATAACTCTTTTTTGTGCAAGAGTTCTTGTGCAAAAAGGTGTGTGTGGCTGCTCAACAGGGGTTTCTTGTGCAAAAAGAGCCTATCACAAAAGCACAGGTGCTCTGATGGCCATTCTGTGAATGGCAATCAGAACTTTCTTGTGCAAGAGCATCCATGCAGTGTGGACGCTCTCTTGTGCAAAAGCACATTGCTTTTGCAATGCACTTTTGAGTTGTGGACGCTCTTTTGCGCAAGAAGTTTTTGAGGACGATCTCTTCCACAAAAAGCTTCTTGCGCAAAAACCCTGCAGTGAAGACAAAGCCTGGGAGAGGTGCAAATTAGAGATGGTTGATTTTCTGATGAAAACAGGGACACATATTTCATGATTTTGTTTTCTTATTTGCACCCGGATCCCACACATGTTTCTTTTACTACTGTGAGTTCAATGGAACCAGTCACAGCAGTAATATTAAGCACATCCTTGAATGTTGGCAGTATCAGTGCCTTTTTTTGTGTGTGTAGCTCTCATACATACTTGTTTGTTGAGTGCCTTAGAACTGTATATAGATATTTTTTGAATCCACCTATTATTTGGCGCATTCTAAATGATGGAGAATTCTCATCTCATGAAGGAATCCTTGGCGGGGGAGACCTAGTAATGTCCAGAGGACACCGAGTTCTACTAAATCAGGAAATCTTTTTCATTAAAAAGAGGGGGCAGATAGAAAGATAAGACTGTAAAACTAATTAGGTCACATGACATTGTTTCAGCCAGTTGGATTGTGTTTTGTAGCCCAGTATGTAACACAAAATGTTTTACTACAATTTGATTGGCTAGAATCTCACTCTTAAAGGGAAATAACGTATAAGCAAAGGGAATAGTCTACATTGGCTATGATGGCATCTGCAGATGGCTATAATGGGAGTTCCACTAGGCAAGAGAAACCATTTGTCCGGGAACTCCAAGCCTCATAGCCTCTTCTCTGGAAGAAGTTGTCTGCCACTTGAATTTTTAAAACATAAAAAATCAGCACTTTTCAAGCTGCCCATCTAATGGGTTCCTACGTACTGAAATCTCTAAAATCTTGTTTAAACTACAGACCTAACTGCCAGTGTGTGGCTGTCTGTCTTGGTTCAGTTTTGTTGTTATGTTTGTGTAGTGTGAATGGAACAGTTCAGTTAAATAACTGTATTATGATAGGTTGTATTAAGGTTACCTAACACTTTTCCACAGCCATGTTATCCTAGCCACATTATGAACACAAATCTATATTAGAAGCTCATGTATCAGAGTCAGAGATGCTGGAACTATGGTTGGGAGGGTGTTGCTGCTCCTGGCTTGAAGTAGTATCCATCATACACAGGATTTACAGTTTTGATCAACATCTTTCAGCACCTCCACTATACAAATTGTTCCAATGCCTCTGTCACAGAGGTGCAAGAACCTGAACAGGATAGGAATACATACTCTCCAAACTATGAGCTGGCTCAGACTTGTAACACAGCTGTGATCTTACATACTATAAATCATTTACAAGTGTCACTCTGCTTGCTTCATTTGGCTAGAGAAACCTGTTACTTTCCTTGTAGCTCTGTTTTTCATTATTGGATATTGAAAGAAGTATTCATATTGTTTTCCTTACAAATTTTTGTTTTTCTCCACTTGGAGAAATATTAAAATTGTTCTTGCATTTCAGGTATTGTGGTTCTTTTATGCATCTAGCCTGCAATTAGAAAAGAATGTACAATAACTCATATTTCTCAGGGTTCAACAGCAAACATTTTCCTACCTTTTCTGATTTACTGCATCTAAAATTGTTTTAAAGGGGAAGGTGCTAATCCAAACATGAAAAGAAAATAGCTTTACTTCTGGATATAGAATTTCATATACAGCGCTCTTTGTTTTTCCCCTATTGATTCTCAAGCTTCAGATTGCTT